AGGGAAAGACTTCTGCTTCAAAACCAAGAAAGTTCAGCAATCAAAAAATGTTGCCAGTTTTTACCTGGATGAATAGGAGGCATATCCATTGCAGGTCTTCCTGACATCATTCGTGGGTCCATGTAAGACTGCATCATGAGCCACCGTGGATCAAATCCCATTGAAGCTAAATGCTGAGGATGTGGCTGCATGGGCTGGTAAAGGGGTCTGTGCTGGGGAGGTGGGACAGGGCCACTAGAAGGCTGTGAGGGAGCAGACTGTGGAAGGACACCTTGCTGTTGTTGCTGCCACTGCTGCTGTTTCATTTGCTCCTGCATAAGAGAAAACAGTATTACAAGACCTTTAGTTAAGATGAAGGCTTGAGCAGAATTCAAATAACCCTTGCAAACAACAAGTACAGTTATCTCCAGAACAGTAAGTGTTCTGAAAGTTAATCACAAACATTTATCAGGATTGAACTACGACAAAAAGGAGAAAACCAGACCGAAGAATTTAGAATAGCTACAGTTTTGCTGGTATTCAGCTGAGACGCAGAATGACCTCTACATTAATGACGTGCATGAAGTAACGTGCTAATCGCACCATATGACCCAAGACCAAATCACATTTATGAGTGTCACACCTTTTAAGGAAAAGCTGTAGACAAATGATTATTAGACCCCAGGTTCCACAGGCAACCCCAGGGCAATGTTCTACTTCCACCAACTGATGCAAAAACGTCCAGTTTTAAAAACCTCCCTTGTCTTCCGCTCAGTTACATAATTTGCAAGTGACAATAAGTGTTTTATGCAGAGCAATTCCTGCCAATATCAGACACTACAGAAGCTGGAAACCAACAACTGAGGCTTTTTGAAACTCCTATGGTCAAATCCTTATTCAGAATGAGGCAAAAGACATCATTTTGTCAATGAGCTTCCCTCTTTTAATGAGCTGGTTAGTTACCTGCTGCCTCTGAAATCTGGGTGGTAACGATTTCTGGAACTGCTTAGAATAGCCTGAGGAAACAGCAGGACGAGGCTGAGATCCTGCATCTGGCTCACTCTCATGAGTCACCTGTGAAGTGTCTTTCTCATTCCGACCAGTATCTTGTCGGGTAAAGACTGCTTGATCTTCTGAAACAAAACAAGAAAAATCCAACAAGGGTGAATCTTAAAACTATGACAAATTTTACCAGAATGTCAGATAAAAGCTGTTGTTCTAAAATGAGAAATGAGAACAGTCTGCCTTCTAACCTCACAGTCTTAAGTCTCCAAAACCAATGAAGTAAATAAAAGTTACAAATAGCCAATAAAAACACAACAATGGTCAATACATCTGTGCCCCTTTTAAATTCAAATACACTGAGTAATCAACCACTGGAATTTAGGCTGTAACTATTACATGATTTAAGAAGTGCTGTTATCAATGCTACCATCTTACTTTTGGATAAACTTTTTTATGAACCAAGGTTTGGTTTTTACCATCACTTATCTATTTAAAGGATAACAAAACCTTATTAAGCACAGTTTAGTAGTACTCTTGTGGCATTCAAGTTCCATTACAAAAAATGCACTAAGTTTAAATATGCAGTCTTTGTGTCTACTTCTCTAGGCTTGCTGAAAGAACAGAATAGCTGAAATAATTTACACTGCTTTTCAGCAATATGAGTTGCTGATCCTTCTTTAAAAAGAAAAGAAAGCCTGCACCTCTTTCTGTATTGTTCAAAGTCCATCCTAAATCACAGAGCCAAATTTTTCCTTGATTGTTTTGATGAGTTGGGCAAACAGCTCTAGCTCAAAGGACAGTTAGCAGCTGCAATGTGCCAGGAAAATAAACAGTCTAGATGAAATAGGTTATTAGGTAAGCAAATCAGGCTACTAGATTACAGTGATGCTCTGTGGCTTATCTTTTAAGACAAGTCTTACTTGCATGCAGGCATACCTTTTTCTTCCTTGTTACTCCTTGTTTCACTTTCTTGTTTTTCTACTACAGGTGTTGCCACAGGTTCTACAGGCTCAGGAACCTCCGGTGCTGGTTTATCCTCTTCCTTCTCTTTCTCACTCTCCTTCTCTTCTTTCTCCATCTCTTTTTCTTCCTCTGTCTCCCTCTCTTGCTCTTTTGCCTTCTCCAGTTTTTCTTTTTCTTCTTTTTCCTTTTCCTTCTCCTTCTCCCTCTCCCTCTCTTTTTCCTTTTCCTTCTCCCTCTCTTTTTCTCTTTCCCGCTCTCTCTCCCGCTCCCTCTCCTTTTCCCTCTCCCTCTCTTTCTCTCCCTTTCCCCTCCCCTTTCACCTTCCCTTTTCCCTCTCCCTCTCTTTCTCTCCCTTTCCCCTCCCCTTTCACCTTCCCTTTTCCCTCTCCCTTTCCCTCTCTCTCTCTTTCAGAGGGTCTTCCCGAGAGGGTTTTGTCACACAGCCGAATTTCTCATTTAACCGTTTAAGCTTTTCAGCACAAGCGGCTTTTCGCTGTTCTTCCATTCTTCTTTCTTCCTCTTCTCGCCGCTTACGGGCTCGCTCAACTGCGGCAGATATCTCTGACTGCTGTCTTCTCCTCTGTTTCCAGATTTCATCTTCATCTGGTACTGGCTTAGGGGGAAAGGGTCCCTGCCTTCCAGGTCCTACCTGGCGATCAGGGGGAGGAGGGTGCTGCAATATTAAAATCAGTTAAGTCAAGTTGGACACGTATTCTACAAACAGCCAGCTGAAATACTATGTTTTAACTATTTGTCACTGTAGGTATTTGCATGGCACCTTTAAAAAGCAGGATCTGGAAGAAAAATAAAATCCCTACTTTCCTACTTCAGTTCAGATTCAGGAAACTTGAGCTCAGAAAGGAGAGGTAAAGATTCAGGTGGGCTCACATTATTCCTCCTTCCCATCACCAAGGCAAAGTGACAGCAAAGATGACAAACACCTTTTAGATTCATTTGCAGCCTGATGTGAATCAAGAGACTCAGAGCACATCTCAGACAAAAGTCTCCCAAGCAGCCAAAGAAACTCAAGGTAGCTCAGGATAACAGCAATTTTAATAATGACTGTTGAAAATTAGTAGGAAGCTACTACATGCATATTTCCTTTGAGACTTCATCTCCCCTTCTGCATCGGCAGCCAGCCCTCCAGTACCGTTCCCATGCCCTTGTCCTCTCTAGTTCCCAGACTGGGATGGATAACTGAAAGCTCTCAAAGTTCTCATGCATTTCACATGCCAATTCCAAGATGGAGCTGCTTTACACAAGCAGCAACACAGCTGTGTTGGGGTTCTAGTCTTACTGGCCCGAGGTATCATGATCATTTTATTTGTTAAAAAAAAAAAGCTTATCCCTATTGTAAAGCATATTTCTCCTCTTCTTAGTCTAAATCCCTCCACCACAGCATTAAAGAATTTAATTCAAGGAAAGCAGGACAATTATAATCTTTCTTACCGGTGGCAGGATAGATTTTGGATGAAGAGCAGGACCACCTCTTTCATGTACAGAAGGCTGTGCTGGGCCTCGATCCTATTGGATCAAACAGTACCAGGGTTGAGCAAGCTCCTAACAACAGCCAAGCTGACAAACTTTAGAGTTATTGTTTTCTACTACATTAAGATACTACATCTAGTGGACTTTGTGCACATGATACAAATTTGCTTGCAAGGGCAAAACAAGGGTAAGAACATTTCCCCTTTATGTACTGAGAGCTAAACAATTACTTTAAAAATTCAAATATCCAAATTTCAGAGTTTGTTACTGCACTGGTTTTCCTCTGATTCAATGTAGCATCAAACCCTGAAAGACAATGGGATCTTTACATACAGAGAAAGTGCAGGTAAAATCAATTCAAGATCAATATTCCTGGTGTCAAGAGAAAACATTTCTGGGAAATTTTCAGACAAAGCCAACAATAGCTTTTCCTGGGAAAATAAAACTAATAAAACTAAAAATAGGGCTGAAAAAGGCATAAGCTAAGATGGTTGCCAGTATTCCTCTACAACAGCATAAACAAGAAGAACAAAACAGCTGAGCTGATGAATTCTACACAGCCTGTATAAAATCTCTCTGCCAGAGATGCCAGAATTGAGCTGACATTACTGCTTCATTTCACTGAAGAAAAGTGGGTCACAACACCAAAAAACTTCACTTCACACCCAGGAAAAATGTGTGGGCCAACTGGGCACTATCTACCGTGTGCCACTGTAAAATGATGGACACCAGAATGACTCCATTCACTGTGTTTCAGGGATGGACAGATGAGAGTACTGAGTTTAAGCTTGTCAGTTGAGTCACAGTAACTCACACAACAGTTCTCACCCCCTCACAAGTGTAGATTAGAACACACTAGATAAAGGTGTTCATAACCTTAATTGACCTGACAGTTTGGAAAGACCAGAATCAGACCACTCTTGAACAGGCTGTTGCCAGAAAAGCTGAAAAGAACACCACACAAACCTGATCAAGCTGAGAGCTTTTGCCATAAGTCCCTTTGGCTGCTGCTGTGGAAATCTGAGTGGCAGACTTAGCACTTGTCTGTTCTTCTGCTTCCTTCTGTCCATCAGGAGTCTGGGAATCTTTTGACGGTGTTTGTTCATCACTAAGTGCAAAAAAATAAGCAGAATGGAAGGTGTCCCCCACATATGTTTTTGGTGATTTATCTTCTACCATGAATGTTTCTTAGCAAGAGCAGAAGCTCCTCACAGCAAGGATAATTTGTACTACACGCCCAGCTGACTGGAGTCTGCAGGCAATAATGCAATTTAATACAGTATTAGATTACTAGGATAAATGCTATTGGAATGAGTACTTGCACTCATTTCATTCAACCTTCCCAAAAGCTAACCTAAGTGGCATTCACACCCAACTGGCAACACCAACTCACCCACTTTCCTTTTCTTTTTGACTACTTCCTTGCTCATCATCATCACTGAAGTTCAACTGCTCAGTGTAATCCACTTCACTCTGGGCACCTGATGCATAAGCAAATATTAAATTAACCTTTCAGAAAGATTCTATGTCCAAATAATAGAAACGATTAAACTTATGTTCTTACCTGCCCAGCCTTCATCAGCCTCGGCATCCAGATTGTCAAATTTATCAAGTTCTTTAAGTTCACTAGCACTAAGAATGGATGGGCGTTCAATAGGTTCTGAACACCACGAAGGTGGTCCTCTTCCCCTTGGCCCTCTAAAGAAAGGGAAAGAAACAAAGTCCACTGTCACCATTTATCCACAAAATAATGAAACACAAGGTCAGCCTGTACAATTACTAGAAGTATACAATACTGTTCTCTCCAATACAGTATAAATGTGAACTATCATCCACATGTGCAACTATTGGATTTAAATAACTGCTACACCACCAGATGGTTCTTTAGAGAGGACAAAGATTAGTTGCTCTAGTCTTGCTTGCATACTTCACAAATAAATCAAACATCCATTGACAGTAGAAAAATACATGCCTCGTAGCTTTCAAACAACAAGCTGCATGGATCTGACATCCTTCTTAACATCAATTTACCCACCTGAGAGATTTCTTTATATTTCTCATATTTTCTCACTGTACCTTCTCCCTGCTCCCATACCTAAGATCCCCCAGCCATCCCTCTTGGACTTTGTTCTTCTCCTGAGTGGAATCACAGATCACCTGTCCCAAGTTTGTACCCTACTGCCTATAGTGGCCCCGATTTCCTCATGCATGTGCAGTGCCATTCTCAACTATGGAGAAATGCACATGTCCTGGTTCCGTGTAAAAAGGGGTTCAGGGCAGGACCCACACAGAACAGAACTATGTACTCGCCTCTCCCCCCCGAGAGAGAGAGAGACACACACTTTGGAAAAAAAATGAAGTATATTGTTTAACAAGGAACAGAAAATGAAAAAGGGAGGTAAGGAAAATAATATATACAAAGATTAGGGGAAAAATACAAAAAATAAAATATACAAAACCCTCAGAAATGGTTCCAGGGTCCCACAGAGTGAAAGGACAACCTCCCTCTCTGAGCTCCAAGGCAGGAGTGAAATTAGAACCCACTTCTTGCCTCTTTCCAGAGTGTGTGTGGGAAGGGGAGGGAATACAATGGTTCACCCCCACCTGGGGTCCTCCCAGTTGCTGGAAGGTCACACCCCCATTCCAAGCCTCAAACCACAACATGCACAGAAAGGAGGAAAACTAGTTTTATAATGCATTACAGTTCTACTTTAATTGGAGAGCAGTAGAGTTGAGAACTAGGTATTAACTAGTTTTGTTACAGTGCTGGAAAAGTCCTTTTACAGGCAAAATACTGGCTCAAGTTTAAAAATGTGTACTTAAGTGCTCCTGGTCTTCCCAGGAGAAAAAAAAAAAAAAATCCTGTGCTGTGCAGAATTCCTTCAAGTTCTGAACTTAAACTGTCAAACACAAATCACTCCATGGCACTGCTCCACACAAGCCAAACTTGTGAGAATAACCAGTGGCAGTTCTTATGTACTGTATAATAAAAAAATTAAGATACTCAGTGCAAATCCTGCCCTCCCCCACCAGGTCACAGAGCTCATACCCGCACAGCAACACTTGTAAGGCTTCTTACCTGCTAGGCTCAGAATTGGGAAACCTTGTTGGACCTTGCATGGAAGGAGGATATGCCATTCGAGGATACTGATTGAACATCTGAAAAAACAGGAGCCATTCGCTAGAATATATCACTGCACTAAGCATACCAAGATCAGAGGAATCACAATGTAAGACTCTTCACTGGAGACAGTTTTCTTAATATCATAAGTGTGACATGAAGAGTCCAAGGTAGAGTGATTACAAGTGTTAATCAACTCCTGACAAGGTTAAACTCGGTGCAGCAGGAGCAGGAAAAGGCAGTCACATCTCTGAGGATGTGGCTGCAATCTCACCCTTCTAGCAGAACTGCTAAGTGGTTCATGGAGGAAGGAGAAAGGGGTATAAGGAAATCTCACTAGCCGATAATCAAACTCTGCTGCTTAGAAATCATTCATGTGACCATCACTTACATAAGGTGGCATCATTGCTCTGTACTGAGATGAGATAGGTGGTTGCTGCTGGCCATTCAGCTTGGGCTGAGGGACCTGTGGTAACCGCACATCCCTCTTCTCTGCTGCCTTCTGGCCATCACTCTGTTCTGCTGGTGTAACATTACCATCTTCTTGCCCAAGAGCCTTAGCTTCTTGATCAGTTGGAGAATTGGGCGAGTTGTTCTTATTGCCACCTTCTCTCCAACTAGTAGCATCTGCATGGACAGAATCAGTACGAGAAAAGGCAGGAATAGACTTTATATTACAGATTTACAGACAGGTATGATGAAAAATTCTTCCTGCCCAGTTTTCAGTTACACAGCACTTTGTGCAGATACACACTCATATTTGGTACCGAAACAAGCAAGGGCCAGTTGAGAAAGAGGTCGTTTTCTAACCCTCTTCAGCCCTACATCTGGCTGTGCTCCTAAAGGGTAAGAGTTAAATTTATAGACTGTTCTAGTTGTCCTACTCTACCTTCCAAAAAACAAATGCCATTTAGGAAGTATATGGATAATAGCATGAGAAACAAAACAGATTTAGCTGTGGTAAGTGGGCCACTGTTGACTCCGTGTGAAGATGCTGTCAAGGGATGGATCAAGCTTCAGCAGAAGTCTACCATGAAACTCAAGCAGCTCAAAATGACATACACCTGCATATTATGCTTCTAAGAGAAGACAGGTATCCAGAATGCAGCTTGTACCCCTGTCTGATAAAGATGGAATAGAATTGATGAGGGCTGTAGTTCAGTGTGTGAATGTCTAGCAAAAAGTCCAGTGAAAGCAAGGGATTTTAATGACCTATCACTTGTGCCAGGCAGTCTATTCTTTTAGGAGTTTCTGCCTACAGAAGATGGTTTAGGACAAAAAAGGTAAACATTGCAGCAGTGTTCAGATCCACAGGGACCTACAAAAATTCACAGACGTACTGTAAATAGTGTCCCTTTAAGGGCACAAACCCCTTTGGCAGTTTTGAACTATGCTCCTAGGTATCCATTACAGTTCTTCCACTTATCTTTGCTGGGGAGCACAGTTGCTAAAGGGGCAGTACTCGCCAAGTTAGTTTAGCTTTCTGCTGTCAGATGTAAAAGAAGGGCTTAATATAGCATGTACAGTGCTGCAGGAGGCTGGAACACACATGCATAGCTACTTTCCTAATTTGGTGTTGGACATCTCTCAAGTTTCTTGACAACTTATGCTTTCCAATGAAATCAACAAGCACATGGCCTCAGTCTGCAGGACCTGACAAACCAAGGAAAACCAAAGCCTGTAACACAAAGGACTCAAGGATTCTGTGAGAGCACAAGCCCTCATAAAGCAGGGCACAACTTGCTTACCAACAGCACAAGACCTGTGCACTGTAGGGGGCACTAAGGAACCCTAGTCCATCAAACCTATACAAAACCAACTTTTTAAGGAAGAAAAGAATCTTGTTTTTCACTGGAAACAAGTGCAATCCCAAATGCCTCCCCATGAAAAGGATCTAGGGAAGCAATACACATTTCTTTTCTGAGACATGTAAAACCAGCACTGTTATGGTTGTCTAATCCCTCCCAGCTGAAACCAGTCAGAGCACCTCAGCCATCAGCTAGAGATGCTAGTGCCTTCCAAATCACAGTCCACTCTTTGGGTACCCTGTAGATTAAAATTCCCATTTGAGATTTTTCAGGCTACTCTCTTACGAATACTAACAATCTGGGGACAATCCTAATGACAATTTATATAGTTAGTTATTAGAAGAGTTATTTAAATACCTATTTTAACTGTTGTGATATATAGCAGCTGAAAGTAGGAAAATGCCAGTACTGTGCAACTAGCATGTTCCTCAGAGCACAAGTTGAGTACTGACTAGGTTGGGAAAACAAAGTGCACTACAGGATAGGATTAAATACCCTACGTTCCACACACCAGGAACACAGTAAAGCACAACAGAGCCCCAGAAATCTGTTTCTTCAGTGCAGGAGCATGTTTATTAAAACAATCAATCTGTTTTGTACATGGCACAATCTTGTAGTAAAAAAGTCCCATGCAAACTCACGGGGTTTCACAAAAATTTGTAGTATATACTTACTTTGTGGTCTCAAGCTGGGTCCTGATCCATGGGACTCTTCAGATGCATCTTTCTCTTTGCCTGATTTTTCCTGATCCCCAGCTGCCGGCAGACTGGGAAACTCTTGCTGGAAATAACTATTTACTTGGATAGCTGGGCCTACACAGTAAGATATGCACAAAGTCACAACTTTCTGTAGTCAGAACAGTTCAGAAAGTAATAAAAGCCTGATCATCCTTAAAAAGTGAATGTCAAAGCCACACCAATTCACTGGTAACGTAATTCACATAAGCAAAGAACAATCCCTGTAAAGTGTTCACATTTGCTACCAAAGCTTTTAAATTTACTAGGCCAACAATCAGACCTGTTGGGGCTGAGAAAAATCTAGAAGCACCAGAAAGCAGCAATGGACAATAGAACAAGACTTAACCCAGGAAACCTCTGAAGTTCCTCAGCAATGTTAACCCTTCTTTACCCTCCCCATTCCTTCCAGACAAAAAAATTTCTTTCATTTTATTCTATAGCTATGGTCAACCCCAGAATGGGAAGGTACATGATTCCAAAAGCCCTTAAGATTACTGTTCTAGTAACAAATTTATGACTTCAAAAGGCCACAGTTTTTACATTACAAAAAAGCATCAGAATTGTTGCATTCTTTGATTGCTAAAACCTTTGCCATCATAACTCATGACTGGAATATAAGACTCTGCTCCACACAGTAGGGAAGCCAAGTATTGTCTTCCTCTTTAGAAAGTTTTGTTAGCATCTACTTTGATTCAATTTCTCCCTCCCATACACATAATAGATATTGACCTATTAGGTCAATAGCATCTTACTGAGGGAATATTTCTATTCCAACAGCCTGAATTACATACATCCTGTTCCTAAACCCATTTTTACTACTGGCTACTCTTAAGAGACATCATATGAGGCTACACAGACTATAGGGCAAACTCCCAAAAAAAGGGATCTCAACATAGACCATCCAAACCCATCCAACACCCATGATATGCTTTTTTTTTTTTTCATCTAAGAGCTAGAAAAGCTTCTGTTCTGTCAGATCCATGAAAGAACTCTTCATCACAATAAAACACAGGGATCTTGATGCTTTGGTTGGGGTTTCTTTGTGTGTGTTTCTTTTGATTTTTTTTTTTTTTTTTTTAAGATGAACCATCAGGCACAGGATAAGCTTACTCTTTGTAAAGGAATGACAGCAAATACCACTCTTTATCCCTATACCTACAGATTGCCTTGGAATCTTTCAATGTTCATTCAACTTCACATATTACAGATCGTGTTAACTTGTTTTTCATTAAGGGACATTGGACTCTTCATGCTGCCAAGCAGCTACATACAACAACTTGCTTAACAGGACTGAAAACTGCAGTAATACTAACCGGATGGCCTGCCAGGCTACAGGGCCTCTTCAGAGGTCCAGCAGCATGTAACGTTCGTGACTTTTATGAATCTTGAAAAATGTTTTCTGATCAAGTTCACACACAGACAGCAACAATGTAATTGCTAAGTCATAGCATCTTCAATCTGATGGCACCTAAACTATCAGCCCAAAATAGCCAGATTGTACAGAACTCAAAAATGTTATGGTAGCAATTAGCTCCAGCTTTTAGCTAATGCATGAGCTGAAAAATACCTGCTGTCATTAGATTTTAGAAGTCTTTCTGTTCTATATGGCCACCAGGAGCACCAGAGAAAGCTTTAGCCTTGCCTGACTTAACTGAAGTCTTACAAGAGCACAAGGCAGGCAGTGAATGACTGCTGAAACACATACAAGGCATCTGGAAAAATGACAAACTTCACCAGCCAACTGCAGATCAGGAAAGCACAAGCTCAACAGGTGTATGGGGAGGAGAGCAAGCAGCTGATGCCAATTCACATTCTGCATTTCTTCTTGAAACAGCAAACCCACTACCACATTAATTGAATGAAAAGAGTGCCATCTGGGCTTGGCACACAGGCTGCCATGGTAACTACAAAATAATTAGCTAAATGCATTTTGAAGCCACTGAGCCAAATCACTATTTCCTGTGTTTCAGATGATCTTATCAGCTTATGTAGAAAGGCTGGTATGCAGATCACTTTGCATCAGTCCTAATTCCTTTTTTTTTATTGTGCAAAACTCCTATAAAAGTTTAAAAGGAGGAGAGCTCCTACATACGACTACAAAAAACCCACTGAACATTAGAGAGGAGAGCAAGTGGAGAATCTAGAATTGTCACTTTTAATATTTACTGAAAAGTCATTAGATATGTGATGTTAAACTACAAATAATCTGCATTTTAGAATTTACCTCCATGCAACTCTAATTTTACTGTTATAAGATCACTATCTAGAAGAGAGCTCAGTTCCACTTAGAAGCCAAAACTCTATTTTATAGCCACAAAATACTTGCATGTCTCATATTTAAGGAATAAAACATGTTACAGGTTATTTTTCATAACAGAGGCACAGGGATTCTAAATAACCTCTCTACAAGCAATTTGAAAAAACTGTTGAAGATTTAGCTCTGATCTTACATCTGTATTGAAAACACTCAAGCTAAGATTCACACTAATGGAAATAGTTCTCTATCCTTTCATACAATTATGTTTAAAAAACTACCAACCACACCTGTAATGTACTTCCCAGAAAAAATGAACAAACAACCCTATTTGAACACTACCACTGTGAAAACAAACTAACCAAGGAATCTATAAAACAACAGTAAAAGTACTGCTGTAGCAGACATTTAAACAGAAGGCTACACACATTTTGCACAAAATGATCCAAAATGATGATCAGAATGACCACTAACTGTTTATGGTTCTCCTTCCCATGCCAAAATTGCATGCATTGTAATTACTGACTGAGATTTTCCTTCCTCACCACAGCTACGTTCAAGATCTTACACTGTCACCACCATTTCCCTGCCAATCCAACAGAGGTGACTATATGAGCCCTTTAAAAGGCAGACTGACCTGCTGCTAAATCAGGCTGGGGCTCACTCAAGTGACAGGGGACTGGCTCATCTTCCAGCCAAGAAAGATGCTTCCATAGCAGTCATGGTCCCAACTGGCCTGGTCAAGACTCGAAACACTTGCTGAGTCTGAGAGTCTCTCGCAGCAGCATTCACAGCCTGCTAGCCCAGTCAAGAACCCCACCACCCTGAATGCCACTTACCATCTTGTCCACCTGGTTTGGTGTTGGCCCATGATTTGGCAACAGGAGCTGCTTCTGGAGGAGCAGGAACAGCAGGTTTTGGCTGCGTCTGCGGCACATCTGGCTGTCTGGAATTAGAGGAAGGGCACTTGTAAAAACAAGAGGATGAGCACAGAATAAGATCATCAGGATTACTACTGCAAACAAGTGAATGAAATGAGGTAGCTATGTAGCTGAAGAACCAATAACTGCTTTTCTGCAGAAAAAGCATTTTCTTATGTAAAAGCAGTTGTTACAGTTAAAAATTGCAGTAAATTAGCTAATTCTTTCAAGAGTAGATTCCCCAAAGTGGAAAGATGAAAACGGCTGGGCAGAAAATGTAATCAGACATGAACAGAATTATAACTCCTGAAGTAGTGCATTGGACTATCAAAAAACAACCAATCTACAACCATGAAAGGGAATAATTTGGAGTAATGCTCTCTTGCCTCAGGAACTAGAGGAAAGCACTTAAAAGATCACCATGAACTGAGAGAAGAAAGCAAATGTATGTCAGAAATTGGAAAGTAAAATGAACTCATATGGAAATCTGAATATATAACAAAAAAAAATTATGAGTACCATGAATTTGAGCTCAGAAGTTTAGGTCTATTAAGCACCAAGCCTCAATTTCACCATTTAACAATGAAGAGGCAGACACAGGCACTCATTTTGTCCAATATAAAACCCAGGCATATTCTTGAAGATCTTTCTAGCCTAAAGAATCAGTGATGTTGTTTTAACTTTTTTTCAAAGATGGCTATTTCCAAAATCTGCATAGTCAGATTACTGAAAACTCCAAAGTATTAGTGTCTGTCTACAAGTCACGATCTCCAGCTCTGTAGTGTTAATTTTTGACAAAACAGGAATTATGGGGCAAATCCAGTAGTTCAGAATTACTTTTTTATACATGTAAAGAGATAACTAGTGCAATACCATGTCAGTTAACTTGTAATAAACCATCATAAATGCTTTAAATAGATCCTGAAATAATCATCATCTTCTGCAGAATGCCTCCAAGAAGTCAGTTCCATTTGGGTTCTGCAGTGATCAGCCCAAAGCACTACATGGTAGTTTCAGAGATGATGTAGAAGTAAATATCACAAAAAAAAAAAAACAAACCAACAAACAAACCAAAACAAACAAACAACCACAAAAACAAACAAACACAACAACCACAAAACAAAACAAAAACCACCACCAAAAAAACAAATCACTGCTAGGGAGAAACACACAGCTGTCCTTGTGAGAAGCCAGTAATTTTGATTTGTTTCCATGGATGACTGGAATTAAAAAAAAACACCTGTATTTTCTGTTTCCACATTGTTGTGTTCTTTTACACAACTGCTGCACATTTTCTAAATGAACTGTGGAAACTAGAACTTGGAAATTGAAAACTAGGAACAAGAGCATTAAGAGTTTATTTCTTGCAGTCTTACTATTTCAAAGCTGAGCCTGTTTAGAACTGGAGTTATCCAAACACTCTCCCACAGGTGTACCATTTGGTAAGGCAAAAACTCAGCTCAGTGCTAGCTGAATTAGACCAATACACAACAGGATGCACTCTAAAGCAAAAAGGGACTGAGGCAATATCCATAGAAAGAGTGACAACCTGGTAAAGCAGCAGAAAAAACATTTCATAGCCACAGTTAAGAACTCACTCATGTGAACTGCAATGCAGTGACACGAGAGAAAATGAAACTAAAGTAAGCTGTTATCAAGACATGACCTTTATCCACAACCCGTGAGAGAGCAGAACCAAAACACTTTACATGTAAACTAAAGAATCTGTAAACATGTTGAAATATTGGAGAAATATAGCAGTAGTTAAAAAAAAAAAGCATTAGATGGCCTGAATTTAGGAGAATTTACTTGCAGCCTGGGCATTTTTTTCTGGGAACAAGACCCTCCCCCAACTAGTTTTACTTGTACATGTTCTTTGAGGCTTTTATCAGACTAATGCTTATGAAACTACAACAGCAAACACCTTCCAGTTGCAGATAAGGGCCACCTATTTATTTTTAAACGCAACATCAACTACTGGAAAATACTTTTAACACATGCAGTGGGCTGTGCCAAGTCAGACAGATGCAGACAGAACTCTGTTTTAGTCAAACAAGCTACTGGCTCAACACAGATTTAACTTGACTAAGTGTAAGCAACCTTGAAGCACAAGAAGATGTTGTTAAAGCACCATAAAAATTGCTGCGCAGAAAACTGCAAATCTGTAGTTTTACACGCTTAGAATAAAAAGCTAAACAAAACAGAATTCTTCAGAAGTTTAACCTTCTCAGAGAGACATCAAAAACTGACATTTAAATGCAAGGAAGTATACAGGGATGAATAAACAGCAAAAAGGGTAAGAAAACCTTAAATCATCTTTTGCTTTCACATGTTCTAGCAAAATACAATCAGTGGCCCTATCTTCAATGTTTTTCAAAACAATTTGTGTCAAAAAATATTTATTCTTTTTAAATATTTCTTTTTAAAAAGTATTTACTTAAAACCCACTCCTACTTTTAGATTTTGAGAATCATCCTATTTTAAGCTTTCATGGCAAAAAATTTGCTTTGAAGTACTTTCCAATTAGATTATTAAAAAAGTTTGTCTATTTTCTTTAGCTGACCTCCTATACAAGTGCGAAATGGCCAATGAAACGGTACTGAGCATGGGACATTGTATTATACACAGTACACAGCAGGGCATCAACATCACCATCTATTTTGTTTTGTATCAAATATTGGGGGAGTGTAACACAGTGTAAAGTTTAAGATAGAAAATTTTTCTTAAGTTTGCAGAGTTTACAGCATAGTTATCAAACAAATTAGTGTTAAGGTCCATTAGGAAAATAAAGCAGAGATTCAGACAAATGTATACAAATTAAGAATTTTTGAGCTTTCACTGCCATACATCAGCACAAACATACTAAACAGATCTTACATACTCTTAGAAACTTGAAAGTTGCTGTTTAATTTTCCTGTGTACCCAAGGGTTCCTCCTGGAGCTTCAAGAGACTTTTAAGGTGATTACACTGAACTTAAAAACATTAGACAGCATTTCCTTTAAAAAGCCATCAGAATATACACAAAGGCAGCCACATCAGGTGGCTAAAGGAAACACTCATCCCTTCATATGGAATTCATAAGCATACTGCTTTCAGTTTAAGTCAGGTTTTTGTTTTCTTTTGGTTTTTTTTCCCCGCCTAGTAGCAAGATTCTTCCTCACAAAAACTAATAGGTGTGCTGTTTCCTCTCTGGCAGCTATCTTGAGGACAGTCAAGTCTAACCAATTTCTTCCCAGGCCCTGCCCACATCTAATTTTGATAAAACTTGAGAGAAATGGCACAGCAAAGCCATCCTGATCTCACTGGCCACTTACTTTTCTTCTTCGTGCTGTTCTTGTTTTGAAGCCCATCCTGTGCCATCTTTAGGCACAATGTTGACGTTGGGGTCATTGCCTTTGTTCTCTGCTTTCAGACTGGGAAGGTTTGCTGGGGGAGGCATCCTCCTTGAAATAGCAACTTTTCCAAGACTCTGCAATCCATGGCGTGCGGCAACTGCATGCCAAAAGAGAAAGTGCATGTTAACAGTGCTGCTCACCAGGTGGTGTTTGTGCAAAGCTGCATAAATCAATAAAAAAAGTTTCACAAGAAACTCAGAAAACTCAAGAAATGCAAAAATCTTCATGTTTTAATTAAAAAAGGAATTATAAATACTTGATTTGGGAGAACTTGAGTACTTTTTGAATAGCAAGTCACTATGGCTAGCCTATCCCAGGGATAAAAAAGGATATATGGCCTCACCTTTATACACAATGCTCAGTGACAGAAAACTTAAGGAGCCCTTTAAAATATGATGATGTCTTAATATCCTTTAACACGTTGTCAAGCATCATCTTGCTCCTTTTGGGGTTTAACGTACCCTGATGAGCCCAGGAATACCCACAATGGTCCAGGTAATTTCTCTTTCTATTCCTGTTTCAGCTGGCAGGTGCTGCCCTTGCAGGAGCATTCCTACAAACAGCATTTACTCCAGGCCACAACTATGAAAAAGCAATATGAAGCTAATTGCACTACATGGGACATTCAACCTACCAACTAACCAACCGAGATGAACAAGCACAGGATACTACCCTAGGCGTACTGTATCATGACAAACATCTCAGCTTCAACCTTTAAAAAGAGCATTGTGGCTAATTTTAACAAAGTTTGAACACAACTCCCCTCTTTCACCCTCAAATTTAGGCAAGTGTGAAACAAAAAAATTCAAAGACTTCAAAAAGTGTCATTCCCCCCCCAAGTTCTCAATCCAGTCAGTCATAAAAAAACGAAGCCCTCAGTGGCCTTATTTAAAACTTCAGCATAAGTTTCACACAGTGTTTGGCTGCCAAACGAAGCACCTGATCAGAAAGTGCACATTGCCTTCTTGTTAACCAAACACCTCCAGGATCACAAACATTTTATGAAATACGGTAAAAAGCACAGCTGGGGAACGGCATGTCATGTCTGGTAACAAGCAGATGGCAGCTATAAACCAGGTTTATTTACCTATATTCTACTTCCTATTAGGCTGCAAATGCTGTCTCCCTGAACTATAATCAGGACTGCTTTCCAGACTATTTCCCACTTAACTCTTGTATGAAGGAGTTAAAAAAAAAAAATCTTGCTGTGGTTAAGTGCTCGTATACTTTGCACTCTTAATTAGTACTACAATAATGACAAAACAGAATGCAGCAGTTTACTCACCTGTGGTTTTCTGAGTTTCCAGTGACTTTCCCTTGTAAGTATTAAACAGACTGAGTGTTGCATACTTCGTTTTCCCATCCTTTGCTTTTGTACTCTGGCCTGACTTTTCCGACATTTCGAGGGAAACTCATCGAGTCTGGTACCTCCCAATCACCCCTCAAAATCTGCCTGTAAACAACACCAGAAAAGGAAAGCAATTTGAGTATAAGCCAATACTTAAAACAGAGTTCACAGGACAAAAGTGGACAGCATATGTAAAATCATTAGCTTTGTTTTATTTAAGCATACTGGAGATGCCATAGAATTCATTAGCCCCAGAAACCCTTAGCCTTATGCAACATCATGTAATTTTCAACTATTTCCATCTCCACAATTTGAATGCCACAAAATCAGGAGGCTCAGCATGTAATTAATACCAAACCCTGTAAAAGTGGTAAATATTGCCCATGATCTCAGAAAACCAACAACGACAACAAAAAAACCCACCCTCACAACAACAAAGCCAACATGCAAAGTTTCTACCAGCAGCTAGCCCCCTACTATGAATGCTCAATGACTTCATCCACTCCTGAAGTCAAGCTCTGAGATACCACTAACTGTGGAACAGTATTTCTGAAATTCATGTCTGCCCCCCCACCTTCCCGCTTAAAATCATCACAGCTCAGTAGCTAGCAAAATTAAATATGATGAGACAGGAGTTTGCATTATCAAAGCTAAGAACATAGTACGTTCAGACAGGGAGGGTGAAGAATTCCTTAAGCCAAGAAGTTATGCCATTCTTCTTACAGCAGTAAACTCCAGGGCTGCTAGTCAGTCATCCCCCTTCTCCCTCCTTCTACCAGAACAGCAGGCCTTGAGAAAAAGTACCCAGTAATTATGAATTTTATCAGTATTATTGACAGAGCTGCTCCTCCTCATCAGGCAGGAACACTTAAACAGAACAGTATTATATAGTCAGTTTATCTTAACAAGCAAAACCCCACTACCCCCCTTTCAATAACAAGCTCTTACGTATTTCCATATGAATGCCAGAATAGTTCTGTACACTGCATTTCATTCTAAGAGCAGACAGCAAAACAGAGTGAGTTGTACATGCTGCTGAAATCTGACAATGATCAAAAACCTGCCATGTCAAATTCACAGCCTCAGAAGACCTTCAAAAGAAACTTGATGCATATTCAAGTTACTCACATACTAAGAAGAGTTTGCATGGGCAAACAGTCCACAGACTATAGCATATATTTGGAAATGAAATATTTGAAAAAGCATATATTTGGACATGACAAACATTAACCGATGTCAAAACATCAGGGAAGTTTCACTAAGGAATGATAACACTGCCAAACTTTGCCTTCTACCTCAATTTACCAGCCATGATCAACAAGACTAAGAAATGAGGATGACAGATAACCTTGGGATGGTCCAGTTTCAGTATGATTTGGGACAGATGCTGTTCTATTTCGATCTACATGCTCTATTGCAAAGGGGACAGTTTTCTGTTTAATAGAGGGCTAAGGAACATAATTCTCCCCTCTCCCAAGGAGAAGCCATCTCCCAGATTTTTTTGTGAGATTAGTCAGCATTTGGCTATTTCAACAGCATGTATAACACCAACAGCCATTCCTCACGTCATCCAAAAGTACGAAATACCAGATGGAAGGAAGCTAAACCCAGCTCACCAAGTGGACCACATAACCAGAACACAGACTTTGGATATGGCTGTTACACCGTCCCTTATCTACCAAAAATAATACACACCGAGGCTGCAGGGTTTCAATGGAAGCCACAGCTCACTGCTCAAACATCATTACAGGGACAAGGAAGGAAAAAAAAAAAAAGCTTGTCTAAATTCCTGTATCAGGCTGGTTATCTGTGGAACTATCAATCAAGCAAATTTCAAGCAACCATTCACTGCTCAGGGCTGCCCCAATACTTATTTACAATTTAACATGTCATGCTTTGTCCATTATTATTCTTCATGGCCACACAACCATTTTCAGCTAGTCTGGAGACCTGAATCCAGGCAGACTGGTTTATCAAGCCCAAATCTCAATCAGACATCAGCCCTGCATTAGCCTCTTCCATGAGAAAGCTTCGTTTACCGTAAGGTCTTCGGTAAAATGTCTGTGGAAAAAAACACGGCAGATTCTTTCCCTTCTATTTTCCCATTACTCTTGGCTCCCAGACTCGTATTTATAATACAGTCCACCACACTCATCCTGGAGCATCACAGGAGTAGGTATTGGGCACAATTACCAGGAGCACACAGGTGGCAAACAAGCTTTCAGGGGTGCATATAACCATACAAAGTAACACATTAATTTCTTGACACTTAGCTATGCTTGCACACACTTCTAAGTGAGAACATGTACCCAGTTTTAATTTTCAGTCCAAGCTTTTGTAAACAAGTAGCTTCACAACGGTGATGAAGGAAGTTGGAAAAAGCAAAAAAAAAAAAAGTGACAATTTGAGTTACTTATTGCCCCCCCCTTCACAAAAACAGTGAAGCCCTAACAGACACAGGCAGACCAGAAGGCAGTGAGAGGATGGTTTAAGGTAATGCTGAGTTTCTGTCACTTTCCAAAGCCTGTACCTCTGTTAAGGATCAAACATGGAAAATCCAAATCATAACTCTGTTCTTCACAGAGTAAGACAGAATCCATACTTCGACAAATCTTAACTGTAATCATTGTTCTTCCTAGAACATTCGATAGCGTAAAGAACAGAAGACAGTGATCATGTTCCCCAATAATGCTTTTTGATGTCAAAGTTACAGAAATTGGTTTGCTTACTACAGCCGATCTTTGTCTTCTAGAGTATTAAAAATTCACACCATTTGACAAGTTTTTCTGAAGTTACACAACAAAGAAATGGTATTTAAAATTTATTAAAATTGCACATTCCTTAGTGATCTGACTTGAAGAAAATAAATCAAGCACTAAAAACAGTGCTCTTTTAAATTAGGCCAATACATTCATATTTAACTAAGTTGAGACCTGATACTGGTTGCCAGAGAAGATATGCTTGCAAAATTAGACTTTAGATCAAGTACTCAAGCCAGGGATCACAAATCCTCCCCTTGAAGAACCCATCTGGCCCTCTACAAGCATACCTGCCAGGTCACACATGAAGCAAGCACCTAGTGCCATCTAACAGTTAAAGAGATAATTCCACGGTTTTGAGACAATAAAATTTCAAGCTGTATCCAGCTCCAAGACCTTTGACTTTTCACTCAAACTTTACATGTGTATGCTACGTTCCTATACAACAGCATTGGAATCATTCCCTACGTAGCACCATGTGCAAGGTACTTTAACACAGGACATGTTTAATTTGCAGATAGGATAGGTTGGCAAGTACTGGACTTCACAAGTGATCCCAAATTTACCCTTATATTTATATATTGTTATTATCAGTAAGGTAGCTGTCAGTCTGAACTCTATTAATCAAATCCTTAAAAGCAAAGTGCTGCTGTCTTGATAGATTTACTCGCTGTCATGTGAACGTGAGACAGCCATATACCTCTAAACAATAGCACCATATAAAAGGTGTCAGAACTACTTACCAGAATTAAATAACTACCATGACAGTGAACAGAAGGACAGGGAATAGTACAAGCAATAACAGCAGCTGCCAGGGTTCACTGCACTATTAAGAAATTTAAGTCAGTCAGCAGTTCATTTTGAATAACTCCAGTTACTATTGCGCGTAATTATATAAGGCACAACGCTCCCAAAATTCTGGAGCAGAGATTACCCTTCAGCCACTCTGTAATCTTATCAAGTAAGTTAACTGACCTTCACTACGGCCTTAGGATTTTGAGGTCAAAATTATTACCGTAATTTCTGTACCAGACTGCAATTGGCTGGCTTATTTACATCCTGCCACGAACTCAGAAGCATGTGTAGAGAAATCAGCACACTAAGTAGCTGCCAGAAATGGGAGATATCCCAGTCTCTGTTAAGGAATACTTGCTTGTACCCTCTCAGATCCCTACAGTTGGTAGAAGAGCAAACAGAACAAAGTATATTCTAAACTGCAGAATCAGATTTTTAAAACAAAAACCCCACGTACACAGCACACAGACCTTTTCAGCTAAGTTCCAGTTTTCCTGATCACTTCAGAATTTGCCAACACGACTTGTTTAGAGTGTAATGATACCCCTTCACATGTCTGTGAACTTTGCATAGTGCTCCATTAGGATCAACTACAGACTAGCAGAGGTCTTATGTCCACTCTGGAACAAAGTTCTTACATGGTTAAATAAAAAAGAAAGTATTACATATTGAATACACTTTTGAGAACTTGAGTGGCAAGAAGTTTAAAACACTTAACAACTTAGTAACTCCTGTCTGGTTTCCTTTCTTCTCTTCCATCATGTCCATTCCAGTATTTTGTACTTCTATTATATGTGTGAAAAAAAGTTTTACATGTATCCAAGAGGAGGAAAGCATTCTGTGTAAGCTATGATAGTCTGTTGTCTCGGTGAACAAGTACAGACAGGCATGGAAAGGGGAAGAGACTTGTATAATGGTTCAGGTAGAAACTTAGCTTCTTTATCCACAATTTTAGGTTTGGGCAGGTCAACTCTTACTAGTGCCATGGGAAATAACCGTATTTTCTGTGTCTTCCAATTAATGTTTCTGTATGTGTTTGAAGCACAGCATACACGATTCCTCACCTTTGGGAAAATGACTACTACTCCTTGCATTTTTCAGGAATATTCCATCTAAGCTGATGTAAGCACAGAAGACTGCATGACCAACTCTCCAGATCTGTATTTTATATACTGTATTTTTAAACCTGTGTCTATTTTTCAGACAGGTGTAACCTGTCAGGAGACTTTACCAGCAATATTACACTTTTTTTTTAAGCAGTCCTATCTTCTTAAATCCCACACCCCACACCTATTTAGCCTACAAACACACAATCAGTTAGGACAGGTAAGCTGTACGTCAGCTTCCCAGGAATCTTCCCAGCCTTGAAAACACTGAGTAAATACTCGAATAATTCCCACATTTTCTGTTCAACACAGCTAGGATATCTAGTCCTTCCACCTCTACTCCAAGGGCTGCATTTTGGCTAAATCTGGAGAAGGATGAGCCAGAATAACTC